GCCTGTCCCCCTACGGGGAGGTTCTGGACGAAAAATAATAAATACCCAAGATATACTCCAAAGATGCCGAAACATATTCAAAAAATAGTCCCCAGACCATTTTTGACTATTTTTGAATATTCCCCCTGTAGAGGGACAGGCCCGACTTAAAGCTAAAATGGGAGAAGACCGCCCGCACTGAACTAACCAATCTCCTGTTATCTGTTCCCGCCCCCCTCTCTGAGAGGCACCCCTGCGCCGGCAGCCTCCTGGAATCGAAACCCTAGGACCCCGACCTGCGAGAGGACGCGATACACCCTGTAGTCCTCGACGTCGTGACTCGTCGCGATGCGGAACCCCACAGGTCTTGACCACTTCCCGAGAACAGTCTGTCCTCTCCAGGCCGCTCGTTTGCGGTCCTGGGGCCCCGCGAGGGCCCCTGGGAGCCGAGCACGGCCCAGAGCAGTCCGGTCGTGACTTGGGCACGGCGCGGAGCATCGGGGCCTGGCGTTGCCCCTGGTCCTCTGATCCGCTGGCCCGTGGTGATTTCTCTCACTGCGCGGACCCCCGCAGGTCGCCTGGACCCTCACCGTTGCCCGCTGGAGTCGCTGCGGGTCCTGCAGCCTTCTGGCGACTCGCCCACGCCTGGGCATCGTGTAAAGGGGATCGTGGATCTGCAACCGTCGGCGGAGCTTGCCACACACACGGCACCTCGCTTAGACCCCCTCCCGAAACATATGACTCAAGAAACCCGGGCCAACTTCCCAGTAATGTCTGGCCCAATGTTCGCCTCCACGATGTGGGACGAACGTGCTCAAGGAACTATGGCCAGCTGTCCGGCAAATGGCCAAGACACGCTGGCCCAGCTTTTCTGGAGGGGCTTCTCAATCCGATCCCCTCCTGCACTTTATGGGCCCCGGAAACGGCTGGGCCGATTTTTCACCGTTTCCAAAAAATTGTCCCTTGAAAATGAAAGCGGCAAACAAACGGCGACCGGAAACGGCAAAAAAACGGCTCCAGGACTGGAACCAGAGCCGGCACCGGTCAAACAACGGCGACGGAACCGATAAATAACGGCGTCGGAACCGGCAACAAAAACGGCATAACGGAATCGGTTAAAAGAACGGCCCTGTCGTTTCCAGGGCCCACTAAGCCCCAGAACAATTGGCCAGGAGTGAGGGATGAGGTCCAATCCGCTCAGAATCGGATCTCAGAATCGGCTTCAATCTTGGGGGGAAACCAATCAAGTACCGATGCCGCTGCTCCCCCGACCTCTCCTGGGGTGCGTCCTGACCAAGATTTCGAAGCGAATCCAGCGGCGGCGACGAGGGCCTCCCAGGAGGCCCAAAAAGGGAAACGAGGGAACGGGTAGAGGTACGGGAACCTTTTCCTGCTCTGAACTCTGACGATCGGATCTCAGAACCGGACCTAATCTGGTGCACTCGTTTCACCCAGGATCCGCTTTGCACGGTCCCATAGGGGCCCCAAAACGGCCCCCAGAGACCGACACAAAGAGCAAAACAGCCTCCCCGAGCCCAAGGGTCCTCGAACCTGCCCGCCCTCCCGGCTGGCAGGAATCCCAGCGCCAGGCTACCTCGGACGCCCAGACGGCTCCAAGTCTTTACACAGATTGCGGTGTTCGGAGAGCCTGAGCCCCAAAAACCTTGGCACCTCTTGGGGGCAATGTTTACATCCGCCGGCTTCCTCCAGCCTGCCGCCAGCCCTCCGCCAGCTCCCGCTGGCGGAGCCGCCGCCGTTTCACCTCCGCCGCCTCCCGTCGCCCTTTCCGCCGAGGAACACACGGCCGTTCCTTCGATCCTCGAAGGCGAGGTCCTCTGTGGATCGCCTCTGGCCAAGGGGGAGCCCGCTCACCCGCCCTATAGTCGGGGCCTTGACCTAAGGAACCCAAAATAAGGAACGAGGCCACTTTTTTCAATAAGTTAAACTTCGATTCCCCATCGAAAACCTAAGGACAACCTAAGGCAAACTGCGAAACAATCAAGGAACACGGAGCCCCTCCCCAACGAAAAGGGTTCCTTGTTTAGCGCCCCGACTGTACTCCTTGAGCGGCCTTGGGCCCGGCGGCTACGGAACAGGCAAGCTGCTGGTGTTCGCTGCGCCGTGCCCAGGCGCTCCGACCGCGGAGGGGGCCCCGCGCTCCAGGCCGTCAGGGAGGAGGAGGAGGAGGAGGAGGAGGAGGAGGAGGAGGAGGAGGAGAAAAAGAAGTAGCAAGAGGAGGGAGGAGTAAAGAGGAGGACGAGGAGGAGGGAGGAGGGAGGAGTAAAAATGGAGGAGGAGGAGGAGGAGGAGGAGGAGGAGGAGGAGGAGGAGGAGGAGGAGGAGGAGGAGGATGGGGGAGAAGTGATCGGGACGAGGGAGAAGGAGGGCTGCGCAAGCGTTCCGAACTCGAGCCCGAAGCCGCTGCCCCCATCGGGAACCGCTGCGTGTCCTGCACGCCCGCGACGGTGCGGAGCGCGGCCCGCGCGCTGTGCCACAGCTCCGCGGCGGTCCCCTCGTGGAGCTGCAGGAACGCCACGGACCAGCTGGCCCCCGCGGCCCCGCGGGCTGCGAAGAGCGCGTGCGCCTCTCGCCATGGGGGAAGCGGGTCCTGAGAAAAAAAACAGGTCACCCAGGTCCCGAGGGCCTTCGCAGGTTTCAGGCTCTCGGGGCCCTCCACGGGCCCTGGGACTGCCAGATGACGGCTCAGGAGGCGGAGGAGGCGGAGGCGGAGGAGGAGGAGGAGTAGAAGGAGGAGGAGGAGGAGGAGGAGGAGGAGGAGGAGGGGGAGCAGGAGCAAGAGGAGGAGGAGGAGGAGGAGGCGGAGGAGGAGGAGGAGGATGACAAGGAGGAGGACGAGGAGGAGGTGGGGGAGGAGGGAGAGGAGGAAGAGGAGGAGGAGACGGAGGAGGAGGAGGAGGAGGAAGCGGAGGAGGAGGAGGCGGAGGAGGAGGAGGCGGAGAAAGAGGAGGAGGAGGAGGATGTCAGGCTCCATAGGGGGCTAGGTGCCTTGGTTCAGCAGCTCGCGAATGGTCCTCTTGCGCTTGGCTACTGCACGGGCCCTCGCCCGCATCAAGGCCTCCACCCTGACAGGACCTGCCTGAGACGACTGTGAACGGATGGCGTTATAAGTTGTGAGTAAAAGATCATGCATTAGAATGGTACCATGCAAGGCTCGGCTGGACGGCATATGAGGTCTCAACAGCAATCGATCGAGAGCATTCCACTCGAGAAAATCAGGCGGCAGCGACGGGATGATACTAGGAAGCAGTGGCAGCAGCACAGGACATTGAAAGTAATGCGTTATGTGGTCGGAGTCTGCGGCACCGCAGCCCATGACGCAACAACGGTTCCCTGACCGAAATCTGGCCGACGTGGGCCACGCGTTACAAACAGATTCGAGGAGAGAGGAGGCAACGAAGGGGGCTTGTTTGGTAGCGGCGAGGAAAATGGCTCGAAAAATAAAATCGGCGTGGCTTACGGGGGCCTCACTCCAGAACTTCCGAATCCTTGGCAAGAGCAGGACTGGCATCGAAGGACGTCCCTGATTTTTGGCAACGGCAATGGTGACTTTTCGCTGGACGTCGTGCGTATATTCGTTGATCGTCGGGCAAATCGTCGTGAGCTCGTTCCAGTTCTTAATCAGGGAACCGCACATAGACTCCGCAAGCCAAGACTTATGCCGAACAACAGCCAGCCGTTCGACATCTTCGTGCTCAAGAAAATGCAGACGCTCCTTCACTCTCGCGAAGGCTGAACTCTGGAGGGCGATCCGAAACATCGCGGCCTTGTTCGTGGCCTGGAGGTTGCGGGGCTCGACAGGGAACCCAAAGTCCAGGGAGTTCTTGAGGACCAGGGTAGGGATGGCGTGCCTCGGACCCATGGTCAGCCTTTGAAGAGCGTTCGTTTCGGCTCGGATCACCTCGGGCCTAACCGGTAGTACCTGCATCAGGTACGTCAAGATCGAGAAGGCTAGCGAGTTGTAGGCGTAGATGTTCTGAACTAAACCGAGCTTCAGCGTCTTAATATGCCCGATCCTGGAAAGAAATTTGACCAGAACAAGTTGCCACGAAGCCGCAGGCCCAGTCGGGCCGATCATTACCCCAAGATATTTCCCGTGGGTGCCGACCTGGAAGGACTTTATGTTGATCCCCCACTTTTTGAACTCTTTATTTAGCTCGGTTCTGTCGAACTCCACGGCAAGGACAATCACGCACTTCTTCAAATTCGGGAGCAGACCTGTCACGATCGAGCTCCTGAGAAAGTGCTTCATCGTCGCGGGCAAGGACTGCCTCAAGTCAGCCATCGCAGCGCCAACGTCGTCAGCGAAAGCGAACGGGGAGGTAGGAGTCGGTAAACGTGTTAAAATCCTTTCCAGCTTCCGTAACACGGGGTCGAAGGCCAGGGCGAAGAGGGCGCCCGAAAGAGGGCGCCCCTGTTTTATGCCGCGGGTGATATGGTACCCAGGGAACCTTTTTCCAGCAAAAATGATGAAGGAGTAGAGGTCGGAATACAGCTGGCCAACCGCGTGAAGGATAAAATCGGGGATGCCCATGCGTTGCAGCACGGCAGAATCCACCTGTGGGACAGCGACGGAAACGCCGCTTTCAGGTCCAGCAGGAACAGGCCGGCGAAAAGGCAGTCGTTATAACATGCGTATTCTAGAAACTTGCCTTCAATATCGAGGATATTGTCGATCAGGGTATCTGCCTTTGACGAAGCCTTTTTGCATCGGGTCGGTTGAAAATACTGCCTGCTGTCCCATGGGAACACAGATCGCACTAGCCAAGAGCTTGTTGTCGGTGTTGCTAAGTGTGATCGGCCGAACTTGGCTAGATGGACGGACTATAGACTCATGATCGTTTGGAAGAACATCTTTGGGAAGAAACACCGTTTGCCCGTGATTAAACCCCGAAGGCAAGCTGGCTCCTGCACATAATGCTTGGTATGCTTCAAATATCACTCGGTGAGCGCGCTCTCCTGCGTGTCTCCAACACGAATATGGAATTCCGTCAGGACCACAAGCTGATTCGCGGCGACTAACGACGATCCCTTGGAAGGTCCCGAAATCGATTTCCCACTCAATACCAGGAGCAGCCCGAGGAATATCTTCAGAAAGCTCGCACAGGATTTCCAGAAATTTCGGGTGAAGCCCAGGTCCCTGAGAATGAACCTCGCCCCAATGTGTCGCCAGCGCTTGAGCACTTTCTTCTAGAGAGCCAAGAGGGGAGCCGTCAAGCGCAGATATGCCGCTCAAGTTGAGACGCCGCCGCTTCGGCGACCAAGATTTCAGACGCTGGTGAAGTCGAGTTCGCTGCTGCTCAACTTCCTGTAAACCGTGCTCAGCGCTAGGCAGCTTCGCGAGATCCTCCAGGATGACCGCGCTGCTGAGCTCATTCAAATGACCATGGAACGCGTTATAGTCGTAATAACTGCAGCTGTCAGAATCAATAAACCTAGCCAACTCGGGATAAGCTTTCATACACTTTTTGACCCAGGAAGAGGATTGGCTCCAGGACGAACCAGGAGAGTGAGCCCGAAGGGCCCGCATGGCTTTTAAACACACAGCGATCTTTTGCTTGTCGGTCAGGACCCCGCCCTTGAACATCCGATGTGTCAGCTCCTCCCTAGCGGCGAAAAAGATGTCCTTCAGCAGGCGCAGCTGCTGGAAGGGGGAGCCGTCGAGGCCTACTTCTTCGATGAGGGATTCAATCACCTGACCGAACTCGGGATGCTCAGAGACCCACCTAGGGATGCTCTGGCTCTTCGAGGACCCAGGAGACAGCAGCAGAAACACAGGAATGTGATCGGACACCTCATCGATGTTGTGTGCGAGACCAACTGTTCCAGATTTGGGGTGCCAGTCTAATATTTCACCGGTGGGGGCATTCGTGTAGATCCTGCCGAGCCGAGCGACCGAGGTGACCACGTTGCGCACTTGAGTCCTGTGGGTGCAGTCCGTCTGCGCAATCTCGCAGAAGGACGGGAAGACGGCGCCGAAGTGCCTGGCCAGAGTGGTGCTCCCTACCGTGGGCTCGCTGCCGTCGAGGGGGATGCGCACATCATCCTCCTCAACAAAGTTGAAATCTCCAGCCAAGAAAGAGAGGCACGTGTTGCTGCTAGGTATACTTCGAGCTGCGCGCGACATGAGATCATAGTTTGCTTGATGAGGGAGGAGGGGTTCGATGTGTATGTTCATGATCAACATCGTGCCTTTCGCACCCGTCACCCGCACGGAGAAGCATCGCCCTTCACTGATATGGGTGATCTCAGGCTGGCCTTCAAACCAGTACATCACAGACTTACGTATTGAAATAGTGCAGCCACCACTAGACGAGATAGAGCAGAAGGAGCCGAAGTGGACGTGGGAGGGGAAGTCGCGCTCTAGAGAGCTTAAGTCGCCTTCAGAACCGTGAGTTTCCTGACACAGGACAATGTCATACTTGTTGATAAGCTGTGTTATCTTTGCTAGTTTCTTGCCTTGCCGTGCATGCGAGCCGCGCACGCTACCAAACAGAGTGGCCGAATTATATGAAACGATACTTAACTTGTTGCGAATTATGAAAGCTGCGCTCTCTTCAGCACCAGACGGAGGAGGAGGCGCGGGAGGAGGAGATCTGCCATCCAGCGGATCTTGTGTGTGGGCACCCATAGCCTGCGAGGCTTCGCCGCGCACACGATCTGCAAAGCTCGGCGAACAAGAGCCGTCCTCCAGACGGCGACGCGAGAGGGGCGGTGCGAGAGTGGCACAGGATATCTGCTCAGGAATTTCCTACTCAGCCAGCAGCGCCTGGACACGGTCCGAGAGCCCGTTCGTGAACGATTCCTCCAGACGGAAGTGCTTGAAGCTCTCAGCGTCGACGTCGATCTCGAAGCGTCCGTCGCCGTTGCCGATCACCTCCTTCAGTTTGACCATCTCGAATGGGTCGCCGTTCTCCATCAAGTAGAGGATGCCCTGGAACGGGTTGGTGCCGAGTTTCATGGAGGCTGCGTTCCACAACTCCTTGCTCCTCATCTCAGTCTGGATGATGTTGTAGGCGAGTCCCAGCGCGTAGGCCTTGTGCCGCACGGGCAATGGCTGGTCCTTGCCGAGCCGAAGGTCGTGGGTCAGCGAGGTGCGCGGGTCGATCCACCTCATCGTGATGCCCTTGAAGTGGCCCCAGCAGCTGTCGGCTTGGGCCTTGCTCTCGAAGTCGATTGCGTACGAGTATTTGAAATTCTGGTATTTCGGCGTCACCTTGGATGCCAGCTCAGATGGAAGATTGGTCCTGAGGACCGAGTAGTGCGCCTCAAACTGCGTCTGCATCAGCTTGCGCGGGAAGCCTCTGATCCAGAGGCGGCACGGGTTGCTTTCGTCATATGGTCCAGCTGCGGCAGCGCGAGGACGTCGCACTTGGGATCCAGACGAAGCTGTAGAAGTAAGCGATGGAGGCCGCGAAATTGTCGAGACCTGCGAGCTCAGCGTGGTGACCTGCTCCTGCAGCTTGATGAGGACGTCGGCCTTGTCCGTGGGGATGCCAGAGT